ATTCCTGCCCAAAAATAGCCCTGGTCATTACAATAACACGCATGTAATCTTCCCAGCATACTAAATACTTTTCCATCCCAATATTTAGGGTTGCTGCGTGGGAGCATCAGCCTCTCTGCATTGGACAGATGGGATGATTGCTTTGTAGGGTGACATAAGTCACTCTCTGAAACTTCTGCCAACTGTTGCACAACTGAACTTGTGAAGAGCAGAAATCCTTGCAGTTGGAAGTCTGGCAACAGACCACCTGCTGTGTCAGAATCAGGTCAGGAGAGCTCCCAACTGATCTTGAGTCAAGGCTCATTAGGAGCTGAGCCCCAGAACTTATTTACAGGACAGGTAAACAGGAACAGAAATAATTTGCACAGAGTGCCTTTCTCTTTCCACCAAGAAACTGCAAACAGCTCTGATAAATCTTATAGTCCGGGTAAGATCCCTGCCAGAAGTACAAGAGAACTGCCAGAAGTATAAGCTGGGTTTCGAAGAGGTAGAGGAACTAGAGATCAAATTGCCAACATTCGCTGGATTATGGAGAAAGCAAGACAGTACCAGAAAAACATCTACTTCTGCTTCATTGCTAAAGCCTTTGACTGTGTGGATCACAACAAACTATGGCAGGTCCTTAAAGAGATGGGAATACCAGACCACCTCACATGTCTCTTGAGATACCTGTATAAAGGCCAAGAAGCAACAGTTAGAACCGGATATGGAACAACTGATTGGTTTAGCATAGGAAAAGGAGTACAACAAGGATGTATATTGTCACCTTGCTTATTTAATATATATGCAGAGTACATCATGCGAAATGCTGGCTTGGATGAATCACAAGCGGGAATTAAGATTGCTGGGGAAAAGATCAACAACCTCAGATATGCAGACGATACCACTCTGATGGCAGAAAGTGAAGAGGACCTTAAGAGCCTCTTTCTCAGGGTAAAAGAGGAGAGCGCAAACGTGGGCTTGAAGCTCAACATCAAAAAAACTAAGATCATGGCATCCGGCCCCATCACTCCTTGGCAAATACAAGGGGAAGTCGTGGAAGTAGTGACAGACTTCACGTTCCTGGGATCCCAAATCACCGCAGACTGTGACAGCAGCCATGAAATTAAAAGACGCCTGCTCCTTGGGAGGAAAGAGATGGCGAACCTCAACAGCATGATAAAAAGTAGAGACATCACCCTGCCAACAAAAGTCCACATGGTCAAAGCAATGGTATTCCCAGTAGTCATGTATGGCTGCGAGAGTTGGACTATAAGGA